TAGTGCTCAATGTAAATTTACAGAGCATTAATATTATAAATTAATTGATTTAAATCAATTAATTTATAATATTAATGCCTGTAAATTTACATTAGCACTATTTTGTAAAAATAAAATATCTATAAGAACACCGGATTTTATATCTTACTGTTCTTTTTTATATATATATATATATATATATATATATATGTGTGTGTGCTGACTGTATATATATTTGCTGACAATATATACATATGCTGACCAAAAGCTTCGTCTAGGAAAGTTTGGAGTCGAGGTGCGGAATATATCATCAGTGACAAACTTTATATTCGTATATATATGTATATATATACATATATATGTGTGTGAGTGTGTGTATGTGTGCGTGCGTATGTGCGCGCCCGCGTGTGTGTGTACCTCTCCATTTCCAGTACCGTTATCGGATCGGGGAAGAATAGAATCGTTTTTAAACGCATTACATTAATCCTTGAATCAATTTAAGCAACAAAGAACTTATCCCCCTGCCACAAATGTCTTTTCTTGTGCATCCATATGAATTATTAGAAACAAAATGAAATAAAGAGACTATAGGAAAATGGAATCTTTATTTCAAAAAAGTCCATTTGAACATTTCCAGTGAGCCTTGTGTCTTCATTATTCATCCAACAGTTAACACGAATAGACGTTCCCCATTTAATGGCTACCAACATCTTGCTTTTACTCTCTCACTCTCATTTTTTTTTGTATTTTTTTTTTTATTAACGATGATACAATTACGATGGCTGGGACGATAAATCTCTAAAGAAGCATGAAAATTTAATTTACTTCTAAAAAGATCCTTAAGTAGGGCAAAAATAGCTATAGTTAACGAGAATAGTTAAAATGACGGAAAGACAAAAATGGGAAATGAGAAAAAAATTACAGAGGGGGAGGGACATAATGGCGGGGCTAGAATAAAATGTCGGTAAAGCAAACAGAGAGGGAAGAGAATTTGAAGAGAAAATAAAGGAATTTGAAGAGAAAATGAAGGAATTTGAAGAAAAAAATAAAAGAAACGGCAAAAATAAAAGAGAAGAAAGCCAACATAAGTAAAAATAGGGAGAGGGATAAAAAAATGAAATTGAAGGAATGTGAAAGAAAGTATGACAGCGAGGCAAGAATAAGATGGGAGAAGGACAAAAGAAAAAATAGAGAGAGGAAAAAAAAGAGAAAAGGAAGTAAAAGCAGAAAAGAAGAAAGGCAAAAGTCGGAAAAGCAGAGAGGGGAAAGGCGGCAACAAGAAGAAAAATCAACAGAAAGAAGAAAAAAAAAAGAAAAATTGAAAAAAAAAAAGAATATAAGACGGAAGCTAAAATAAGATGGCGACGGACAGAATAAAAAGTTGGAGGTGGATAAAAAAAAATGCGTCTAGATCAAGATGATTGAACGATATGAAAAAGCAGCGACACGAATAAAAAGGACCAAATATCTATCAAGAAGGATAACTTAGGTTGCTACAAGATGGCGCAAAGACAAAAAGGTAAAAGCAGGAACGGAGACAAAAAAAAGCAAAGGAAGTGAAAGGGAATAAAATAGCAAGGTTAAACTATGATGGCGGAAAGACAAAAAATGAGTAAAAAAAATAATAGAGGCTTGCAAAAAAGTGAAGATATGAAAAGAATAATGATTAAAATAAAATGATGGAAAGAGAAGCAAAAAGGTAGAGATACAAAAACGGAAATACGTAAAGGTCAAGAAGAATATGAAAGCGAGGCGGAAAGACAAAGATGGCGGAAAGACAAAGATGGCGGAAAGACAAAACGAAAGAACACAAGAGGATGACAGAATGAAGAACAGATTTTAAAAAATGAAGGAGAATGTCAAAATAAAGTTAAAATAAAATGGTAGACATTCAGTAAAAATTTTTAAAAAAGTTTAAAAGACAAAAAGAAAAGGTACTGAAAAATATGAAAAGAATAGAATAAAAAAAGACTTGAAGGACGAAATAACAACGTGGATGTTTTCAGCTGGAATAAAACTGGTGAAGGAGCAGAATTATCTGATTCCCCATAAGGATTGAGAACTCTTATCCAACCTCACATTATACATCGCGTCATCTTTCGAAGAAGACTATCCTTCGACACAGTTAATAATAATTTATTTTGCTTTCCATTCGCCCTAATGTAGTCCACTATAATTTAAAATATTGACGTTTGAAGTAGTAAAAATATATATAAATGAGGTTAAGATTGTAGTAATTAGAGAAATATCTTTTGCTAGATATTTGTGCGGGTTACACCGTTGTTAGAAATTCACTGGTAAATGGAACACAGAAAATAAAGCAGTGTTAATGTCAAGTGTTATCGTTTTCTTGCAATATATCAGCGCCAATCACCGGAAGTTCAGCCGGGAGAAGAGCTAAGCGGTAGTCAGTAGGTCAAAGCATAGCAGATGGCAGATTTTACACTGCAGCTTCTTACCCTGTGGACATTTAACAATTTGCATCAAAATGTTTTGACGAAATGTCTACTATATTTGGGGTTATTTAATGCCGTCTATTGGATAGTATTTCGGGTAGATGGAGCTCAACATCCCAGGAAGGAAGTCCATCTAGGTGAAGGTAAGTCCTGACTTGAAACCTTCGCTTCCTTGCGGTCATATACAAAACAGACAACGCTATGGAAGTAAATCAAGACAGAAAACATGGATTGGAGCCCCGAAGGCGATTGGTTGTCAACACTAACAGCTTTCCCACAATTCCTACAGCCAAGCCGTCCCCAAATATAATGAGTAGCATCGTGATTTCCCACCTGATGAAACCTTAGAAAAATTTTAACGTTAAAACAAGACGTACAGTTTTGTAGTGGGTATGTGCATGTTCTAATGTAACACTGCATACTATATATATATATATATATATATATATATATAAAATCCGTAAGTTGTAAGAATAATTGAAATGGTTCTTTTTAATATAAGATAGATCCATGAAGGGAGCTCAATGTATTTATATACAGAGCAATATGATAAATATCAAAGAAAAAAACTTAACACATCATCGAAGAATTTGGTAATAAATTTACTTTGACAGATAAGTTTTAATATCTGTCTCATCAGACCGAAATTGCAAAATGGTCTAAATTTATGCAGACAATATATTAAAATTATTTTTTAATTAAATCACAAGAGAACAGGAAGCAAATGTCTAAATTACTTGACCTAGAAACATTTACCTGGGATTTACATTATTGAAGAGAGGAGTGGAGAGAAAAATAATAAAAAGCTAGGTGTCAGCACAATGACCAGAGATAGATGCGGAAAGTACAAGTGACAGCTAGTGAAATACATTGAAATTAAATCAAAATGCATATCCTCATCATCTAATATATATATATATATATATATATATATATATATTAAACAACACACGATCATTACAAATTGTATTGGGATCGGGTTGTGGTCCTGGGCATGACGATAAACTAAATCCAGCAGCAAGGCCACTGATCGGGATATTTCGAGAAGCGTGGAAGCACCTTAATTTCTGTTGTTCCGAGGTGCATACTGTCACAAGGTGGTAGCACCTCTTAGAGTCCCAGTTATGGGCAAGTAGTCAACCTACAAACTGGGGTCAAGCATGAAAATATAAAAAATAAATTGGAAGAAAATTACCAGCAGTGCATTTTCATAGTAAAAAAATTAAAAGACTTCCAACATCACATCATTGAGATAAACTGAATAAAAATACATGTTTTGGAAAAAACAAAATTGCCGAATCTCACAAGAAAATAAAATTTCGACATTAAATGACCCATAAGATCTGTAAATGTCATTAAACAAACCAAACTAATACAAACATAATAACAAATTTTAGCAACTCTCGTGGTGTAATTTTCTGCATATATATATATATATATATATATATATATATATATATATATATATATATATATATGATAGAAAAAATATTAGGATTTCATAATTCTATTTAAGTAATTCATCGAGTCTGAAAAAACCTCAACAGAAAGCACTGGACAGCCGTTTCGTCCTATATTTGGGACTCATCAGTAGTGCGCTTCCCCTACCGAGAATTGAAACCCGGACAAATAGGTTGTCAAGCAAACATCATACCAACTGTTACACCGGGCACCCGTGATGAAGAGATTGCAAATCAGACTCAATATAGTGCTGCTGGCTCACATATTCCATGGTGAAACTCATACTGAGTTCTCTGTAACCATAGGACTGTGCCCCCTGAAGCCACGACTACTCTCACCAAGCCGCTTATTCTAGAGCATTAGAAGCCGGTTCAAGCAATGATGTACATGATAGAAATTATTAGGAGGATTTGATAATTCTATTTAAGTAATTCATCGAGTCGGAAAGAAAGCTTAACAGAATGCAGAAAGAACTGGACGGCCGTTTCGTCCTATATTTGGGACTCATCAGCAGTGCGCATCCGAGAATTGAAACCCTGACAGCTAGGTTGTCAAGCAAACATCATACCAAATATAGCTCCGGGGGGCACAGTCCTATGGTTACAGAGAACTCAATCAGAGTTCCACCACGGAATATGTGAGCGAGCGGCACTATATCAAGTCTGATTTGCAATCTCTTCGTCACCGAGGCCTGGTGAAACAGTTGGTATAATGTCTGCGTGGCAACCTAACTGTCAGGGTTTGAATTCTGGGTAGTGAATGCGTACTGCTGATGAGTCGCAAATATAAGAAGAAACGGCCGTCCTGTGCTTTCTGCATTCTGTTGAGGTTTCTATCAGACTCGATAAATTAAATATATATATATATATATATATATATATATATATATATATGATAAATGTTTATCCTTGTTTCTTACTTAGGATTAGGGTTCCAGTTCCTTCTAAAATCTACTTCATCTCTATACTCTTAACGGTTGTTCTTTCCTATATTAATGTAAGTCCACACAGTAACCCTCTACCTTGAGTGGCTCTTGGGCTTTGTAAATTAGTAAAAAAAAATGATATAGCAATCTCCAATCGTTTGCTAATAAGTCAGACCAAA